TCACTGCCTTATAGCATACAACTATGCATCTATTATGTCAATTTATCATAACTTAATGTGAACTATCCTTACGTTATGTCCATTTTTATGAGATGATGTAAATGTATCAAAACATCATGTCAATGCTGCATTACCTGAAGTAAATACATTCTTTCATTATGTCAGCACTTCATAACCTGAAGTAAAAAATTCATTATGTGAAGTGATAATGTGTTTACATTGTGTTAAAACTTTATTGCATGAAATTAATTTTTCTTTACATCATTTCATTTCTTTAATATGTGAGGTCAAAACTGCATTACGTCAAGTAAATTGTGTTTTATAATTAAACTTATCATTACACGAAGTCAAAAGCCCATTCCTTTTTGAGAGTGTATATTTCTATTATATCAAAGCATTATTACGTGATATGGATTTATCTTTATTTTACGGCGAGGGCATCATGATATGAGGTGAACACATCTTACCTTTATGTCAGTGCTTTATTACGTGTTGTAAAAAGTGTATAACATAATGTGAACATATCTTTATATTATATCAATACTTTACTACATTATGTCAAAACTCCATTCCGTGATGTGGATATATAATTACGTTATGTCAACTCTTTCTTATGTGATTTAAAAATATCTTTATATTGTGTTAACTCTACATCATGTTGATTCCAAAAGTTCATTACCTGATGTCAAAAAACATTTACATTATCTCTAAGCTGTATATCTAGTATATAATGAATGTTGACGACCGTGATTTAATGACTGGTAAGAAGGGGGGGGGTCCTGTTTGATTATGACAAATTACAGGCATATAATATCAACCCCCCTCTTTTCCCAGACATAACTTTACTAAAGAAAATGTAATGTTCATTGAAACTGTACAGCCCCCACCCCCACTTTTTGTTGAAGTATAATCCACTAAGGGTAATGTAATATATCTGGAAAAAATAGGACTGATCGAAGTTGGACCCCTCTCCACGAAATAGGATTTTCGGGCTTGGACTTTTTTTTTTGGTTTGTCAAGTTTTTTCGGGTAAATGATTTTTTTTCTGACTGACCTCCTCTTTCAAAAAAAAGATGTTACGTCACTGGAGTTCGTAATTTTTTTAATCATTCCAGGGCCAGAATTCTATTACGAAAATCTACCAATCGCTCATCTAAATCAATTGAATATGCCTTAGTAAGCATGCATGGGTACATATCAGTGGCAGATATGGGAATCTTGAACAAGGAAGGGGGACGGTATATGGTTGAAGACCAAGGGTGGAAAGCGGAGAAGCTCTCAGGCTTTATAGTTTTATAGAAAAAAGTTTTCAACTTAATTCAGCTAAGCTTATTGTGAAACTAATGCAATGTCCTTCAAAGTTTAAGACTTTTATTTTAAAAAAAGAATCAAAATAAAAAGAAAAAAAAAAGATTGCTGCACGACTCATAATATTTGATTTATTTAATTATGAGATTAAAGTAAACACCATTGAATTTCGACGAGACTTTAATTCACAGTCGCAGTGTTAAGGCTTTGCACGTTTCAAGATTGTCAATCATTTGTCTCTTAAAGTTTTCATTTAAAGATGCCATTCCCAAATCGCCGAGAATCACTTCTACGACAGTTTTCTCTCCCGCCATTTTTAGTGCTTGCGGAACGCGGAAAATACGTTATGCTAATATAAAGGCCGAGGATACCCGTGTTCGCATAACGTAATAGTGAATCGACATAATGTAGAAGAGTGCGCACAGTATGGCATAAGCTTTTCACATCAGTTAATAAAAACTAAGATCTCATGAAAAGTAAACATAACGAAATGCAAGTTGACGAAATATAATTGTAATATGTGTAAATGTCATAAAGAGTTGACATAATGTAAAGGAAAGTTAACACGATGCAATAGTAGTGTGGGTTAATGTCATAAAGAGTTGACATAATGTAATGGAAGGTTGACACAATGCAATAGTAGTGTGGGTTAATGTCATAAAGAGTTGACATAATGTAATGGAAGGTTGACACAATGATGCAATAGTAGTGTGGCTTAATGTCATAAAGAGTTGACATAATGTAATGGAAGGTTGACACTATATAAATGGTGCCTGTTTTGGAGGGTAACAGTTGAAATTGACACCCCAAGGAAAACCATTGTCAACCGACGCGTCAGCGGAGGTTGACAATCATATGGTTTTCCGAGGAGTGGCAATTTCAACTGTTACCCTCGAAAACAGGCACCATTTATTTTATTATACTGAATGTCTTCTTTAATTAAGTCAGCAAAAAAAAATCGTCGATCATCGTTACGTTCACGTTTAGAAAGCTTTCAAACTCCTCGCTACTTCTAAAAAGATTTACTGACCTTTTTATTGTTTGTTTGATACTCTAAGAGTCTTTTATCATATAAAGTTTCGTTATTTCTGCACTCGCAAGCATGTTTCGTCTGTCGTTTGTTGTTTTCAAGTAAGCTACATCGGACGCAAGCTTTCATCGACGTCAAGTTTATTCCAGTTCTTTCAAACGCGCAACTTCTACGCATGTGGCATTACCGTTGTGTTACCCGTTGTCACGTGCGTTGCTAAGGCTGAGGGTAATAGAACGGATTGTTAACTGCGTCTAAACCAATCAGATTTTAGTATTTAACATGAAAGTATAATAAAATGCAATAGTAGTGTTCTGCTATAAGGCAGTGACGGCGTTCCATAGGGGATGTTTGATTATCCATGTGACCTTATCCCACCTTATGATTTAAGAGGACCGTGTTTGCACTGCTCCCAATTTGTATTAGTTCGATGGACTTTTTAGCTTGATAAGTGTTTGTTGTCTCCTTATTTCATACGTATCACTACTCTTGCTGTTGTCACCCATGTTGAATTATGCAGTCTTTTCAGTGACCCTTGAATTAGACATGTGTAAGGCTGAACAAGTAATCTGGAGTTACTCATAATCTGTAAAGTTAAAAGTTGTAATAAAGTAAAATTGTACTGCGGACGAGCTCCGTTTAAGTAGGGCTGTTTCTGTATAATTAATTTGATCTTCTTTGTATTTGTATACATTTGGCAATCAATGCAATCTATAGTTAATTTTTTAAATGTCTGTCTTGCTTTCTAATTTATTGAATAATTTCTTGTTTTATTATCATTAAGTAATTTACTTTGTTTACTTTATCATAAACTTGGGCCAACAAATTTTGGCATATATGCATATCTTAAATGTATTTGAAATGTGATGGTAATTGTATTTCAAAAATTATTGCTTATGTTTTAATTCATCAACCGTGAAGTGTTAACATGTTTGTTCAGAATGTTGTAAATATGTATATATTTGAATTACACTAATATTACTATTACCTGGATTCAGAAACCGGAAGATTTTCTGATAAGTCCCTTTTGCAACAATGAAGTAGGTTCACCGAAAGTATCAAGAGTAGGTTTTTATTGCAAGAGTAAAAATTTTGTTTTCTTCTGATAATCGTATAAAGGATATATAAGCAATAACAGTACTTGACTGTTTAATTACTAACTTTGTGGATTATAACAAAAATCCTTTATCTTCATTTTGGGAAGATTCCGTCCTCCATGAAGCATCTCAACATTATTATTTTAGAGTGTTTTTCTTAGCAGAATTATTCCCAGTGTGACATGCACTAGTCAGCTAGGGTCAAGTCTTTGGACACTAGACGATGATCGTTTGAAACTTCTAACGGAGGTATCCCCATCTGTCGATAAAGACAATCACATACAATAGAAAAACGTCATTTAAATTCTAGTAATTTAAAGAAATTTAAGTACATGTAACCCTGCAATACTCTAAGATATTTTAACATTTCTCCCTTATTTGGTTTTCCAAATGTAACTAATAAAAACATCTCTATTGTAATATACATGACTATGAAATGGGTCTGGTAAAAATTGCAAATCGATGGTTCCCCGATGGTGGAAAGTATTTCCCAAGATTGCAAAGCTGAGGGAGTCTTGCCAAGAGGAACCATTTATCTATTTTCGAATATACATAGGAATGATAGACATTTATGTCGATTTTCTTGTCTTAAATGTACTTTTTTCTAATCATTTTTGGGGGATCAGACATTTTTATATTTTGCGTAATTTACAATCTGAGCATGTGAGTCTGATCCCCTTTTTTGTATGTGAAATTTATTGTCTTTGATTTCGTCATTTGAATAAATGACATTATTCATCTCTAAGAACGAGTTTTAGTCATTCTTATGTATAGTTAGCAAAAACTAGCTGCGGTGAGCCTGATTAGCATTGGAAGACATAAAACACCAATTATGACGATAATTGAATTTATGCATGAAAGGCGTATAGTTTATTGTGCGTAGCATTTTTGATGTTAGATAATGCATGTTAATCCCGTGCCTGCTGACCATAAATCAATTAGTAAATAGCCAATGAGTTAATGAGATAGGGTCATGTGATCAGCGGTGCGGATAAGTGGCTACATCACTTTGTATTTTGACACCCGCAAGCTGACCACTCAGTGCACGAAGCACGTGTATTTTGAAGACCCGCCACCATCCCCAGCGAGCCTACCAATTTCCTATTGATTAAAGCAACATATGTAAATTATCTGTTTTGTTGAATTGTGACATCTCTTTCTTATATTGGGCAAAATTTGTTTAGATGTAAAATTTGGTTAGTTAGATGTGCCATCTTTTTGCTATATTTTTCTTATCAGGTTGATTTTCTTGTCTTAAATGTACTTTTTTCTAATCATTTTTGGGGGATCAGACATTTTTATATTTTGCGTAATTTACAATCTGAGCATGTGAGTCTGATCCCCTCTTTTGTATGTGAAATTTATTGTCTTTGATTTCGTCATTTGAATAAATGACATTATTCATCTCTAAGAACGAGTTTTAGTCATTCTTATATATAGTTAGCAAAAACTAGCTGCGGTGAGCCTGATTAGCATTGGAAGACATAATAGACATTTATGTCAATAAGAATTATCTCTCTTATCAGAGTATTGATGAACCTTAAAAAATTTAAATATGATCATCTTCACTTACCAGGAACTGGCTTTATTGCTGCTAAAAAAGAAGTTTGCTTAGTCCGAAAGTCTATCTTTACAAGTTCACTTTTATGTAAGAAAATTTGCATTCCTTTGCTTACATTCGCTAAAGAATGCTTTGTACTGTTTAAGATTAGAAATTCGTCTTCTGTTGAGTTTGTGGTATGGTTTTCATAACGATGGATTTCCAAGAAAGTGAATGATAAATTATGCACAGACGACAAGGTCCACGAACACTGACACGTGACACTAGGGAATTCTGGGTAAAATGGCGTACTGATTAGTTGGACAGATGTATCTATTTTCAAATATTCTCCACAGTCTGCAACGAGAAAGTAAATGATATCTATATTTTTGTAACTTTTATGAAATAAGATGACAACATTCTAATAAAAAAGTCGCAAAAACATTTTAAAGGTAAATGCACATGATGGTAAACAAAGATTTCATTCATGTATTTGAATGTTTTTTGTTAAACTCGGACAAAAACTTCGTGAAAATGTTTTTTTTTACTATTGGTACCTGATTTATTTTTTTCTTAATTGAATCCAGCTACAGTTCCTCATCAGATCAAAAGTCTAACATGTTACAATATAAGAATCATTAAAAATTTTCTTCAAATAAGATAACAATTTGTTTACACTTCGAGAATCATATTTTTTCTTTCAACAAAGATGATGTTAATTTGTTACAATTTCAGGATTCTTCTACCTTAGTTTTTACAAAGACGATAGCTATTTGCATTCAAGTATATTATCACTTTTCCTTATTCTGTTATTAAGATGATGATCATTAATAGCAAAGGTACCTGAATACCTGACAAAATCTGCCTCTTTTGTGTAGATTCGCTATCTTGAGCCTCACCAATTGCAGACATCCAAACTTCAAACAAATTTCCAAGAAAGGACAGAGTGTTTATAAAAGCACTATTATCATTGGATGGTAGAACCATTTCAGAGACCTCGGTCTTCTCCAGTCGTCTGTAATTTATCCGATATCCCCTCACATAACTAGGATTCAAAAAAGGTTTCTCCCACTCCAAAAAGAACCCATACCGTGCTGGCGTTAAAGTTAAATTTCTAGGACGGCCCGATGGTGGATCTTGAAAAAAGAAATAAAACAATTTAACGTGGGATTATTGTTAAATTCGAGCAAAAAATAATACTGTTAAGCACATGGTAGAAATTGCATCTGTTCATTAAAAAATACTGCTGGTATCTTTTGGGATTCCAAAGAATCGTTGAAGAATTACAAAAACATTGCAAATAAGAAATGGGAGGATTTAAACTGCTAAGTCAAAGCAGGAAAATTTTTCAGGATTAATAAACTATAGGGTCTATTGCTATTGTCTTCACTCACAAACTGCTGTAGCCATCGCTGTAAATCCTGTCGCATAGTTGCTATCGTCTGTAACAAAAGTAATGGCGGCTCTGTGATCTTTTATTATAACGGAATCAGGCTTGTTTCCACAAAACCTCCGCTTTCCAGGAATTTCCACATAATCTTTTTGACACAATGTAGAGTTTTCAATGTCTATTTTTACGATATCAAACTGTAAAATCAAATAAGCTTTTCTTAGCATGGATACTTGTTCAAGTCATAAGCTAGCACCGACATAGAGCCCCTGACCTAATCCATACACCACATGCATCAATGAGTATGTAAAAAAAATATCAAATATTCATCTACAAGACAGATAAATTGAAAAGGCACCGGGTTGGGGTGGGATGTTCTGTCCTCGAGCACACTGTGACACAAATCGCATTTCAATAATCAAAAAACAAACAAGTTATAAATCCATGATCCATAACACGGGGAACAAAGAATTGCAAGAGCTATAAAGACGATATAGAAAAAAACTTAACTGGTTTTATGACAGATCTTGTATTTAATATTGAGGATTTTTAACAGAAGTTGATTTAACTATATCAGGACCGTTAAGAATAGCACTTGCGTCGGTGCTTGAAATTTTGTAAGCTCTTAAAGCTAGGGTATATACTAGAGAGAAATGAGAGTAAGAGGAACATTATAACCCATCGATGATTCTTTTCTCTGGTCATTGAGAAACAAAGATGTCAGTTACATATTGATTAAAAGATAATGATACTTTATTAACCTTATACCAAAGTCCGTGATCCGCTTGTAAATTCCACCTGCAAATGACATTTGAAAGATAGCTACCATTGACTTCCGGCGGCCGTATGGTGAAGGTTTGATTATGGCGCAGTCGCACTGCACGTCCACATGCTATAAAAAAGTGGAGAAGTATATAACATGTTTTCCTATCTTATTATCTAACTTCCTATCTGTTTCTATACAGAATGATTCATTTGGTGATCTTGATGTATTTCTCACACAGTACGTATGGCAATTAAAGACAGGTTAGCCACTGTCATATAATCAGTTCAATGCAATTGTTAAAAATATATCTTGGCTTTAAATATTTTCTCATAAAAACTTTATTTCTTTTCTTTTGCAGGAGTTTTTCAGTGTTCCATTTGTTTTTTATTGGTTCACAAACGGATAATGAATAATAATTTTGTGTGCTCAATACTAGTACATTTCTAATTTCTTACTGCTCTGTTCAGTTGGATTGAAAATTCATCCTTGAAATGGATAAAAGTGCTTACAAGCTCTGATGATTTTTACATTGGAAGGTATCCCTTCTCCGCCCTCGGTTAGATAAGATAATCTCACGGCAAACAATTGGCCTTGATGAGTATTTGTGTCGATGACGTATGTTGTTGAAGGGTGACCGACCCGAAGAGGTACCACGTGATGCCCTACGTCAGGTATGACGTTGTAGGTGACGAGATAACGCAATAGGTCTTTTTCTCCATCGTAAGGACGCCATGTTATGTTAATAAAGTCATGTTTACTCTCGATAAAAAATTGGTCAAGAAAGGGAGGAGGAGAATCTACAATGTATTTTAAAATGACAAACAAATAAATACTAATTTTTAAGTGAACACAGAACGACTGGGCTGGACAACATTTTGTATAAAGGTTTAGAAAAAATATAAATATACTGCACAAGCCGTAAAGTACTAATAGGACTATAAAGTACTTGATGCTGTCTTTAAATGAAACAGAATGAAATACGTATCAAATTCAAAGTAAAAGGCAAATAAAGTTTCTTAAAAATGATAAATAAAAAGTATTTTTTTAGTTCACGCCATTTGTAAAAATATCATGCTGTTTTAAAAAACAATCTAAAAATCTGAAGCTGACAAACAACAATAATATATACATAATTATTATACATGTATACTGCATACTTTTAGAGCACTTTCTGTAAACATGCTTACCAACAACTTTGACAGACAGGTTGAAACCCCTCCCATTTAATGTTTCAGTGGAATTGAACATAATGAATGTTATGTTTTTCTGTATCAAATATGTTTTTTCAATGGAAGAACCTGGACAAAGTTTTATTTCCTTGTCAATTTTAATACATGTTGTCTGACAGATATTTGAATTCGAGCACAGATTCAAGTCCCGGATGGTAAATTTTATATATTTATCTGCTGTCGTCTTTATGTCCCATTGGCAGGAAGAAAATGATTGTAGTTGATATGGGTAACCCTCTGAAAGAATGGCTGTTTCGTTTTTGTCCCCGAGAAAAACTTCATTTTGACATTCTACAATATTAAAACAAAAATTATATTAAAACAAAAAGTAATAGAATGCGCAGACTAGTTATGTTTTCTACTACAATGTATAGTGTGTATATATTATACTTATAAATCAGGTCATATCGGAGGTGATTATTTTAGTAAATTCTACAGTACTAAATATCCAAAATTTATCAATATTTTGAATAAGTGTAGACACTTGCCTGACGTATGATTTACATAATCCAACTTTTCACTTTCCCAGAAAGACGTCTTGGCAAACATCCTAATCTGGAATAACCTGCCCCTATGGAGACTGGTATTCAATGTGAACGAATTATCACTGCAGTTGACCATTGTTTGATAGGGTATAGCGGAAGGATATATTAGATATTCGATCACACATTCAAGGGTATCAACGTCCGTACTGTTCCAGAGCCAGTCGATTCGTATGGAGTCCCGGAATACTGTTGCGGATAGGTTTGTAGGCGGGCGTAACTTGGGTATGACTATTATCAACAAAGAGACGTAACCTTTTAGAATGAACAAATATAAGCAAAGTCTAAACAATACGAGGGCTATTCAATAAATAATGCCCTGAGCTCTATGACATACAACATAGAAATAATATGACAATGAGTTTGACTTTCTCTCATGATTAAATCTTTAATAAATTAATTACAGTTTTGTGACCACTTTTCATCGAATAGTTTCATTGTGAGAAGCTGGAAAACAAGGGCTATTCAAGACACTGCGTTATCAATGAATGGTAAGGAATCGTTGAACTAGAGTGAAATTGAATGCTTCGTGAAAGCTGCTGCAAAACTTGTTAAGAATCCCAAAGAAATATTCACTGCAATATGTGAAATTTATAGCAACCAATGTATGTTTTATAAACACATTAACAGGTTGATTTCAAAGAACAAAAATAATATAATGGGCATCAAAAATGAGCATCGCCCTTGGCGAGAAAGACTTACAACAACCAATTTACTGTTTGCCGAAATCCAACAAATTATCACTGATGATGTCTGATTGACTTTAAGACGCTTAGCAAATTTGATAAGCATCATTTTGGAGGTAGTTCACACTGTTTTACAGAAACATTTGACAGTAAAAAAGCTTAGTACTCAATGGTCACCCTATATTTTGAAAAATGAATGAAGATAATAGAATATCTAAACAATTATTTCAAAAAATCAAAAAAAAAAATGTAGTTATCCAAGTTTGTCTGAATTTCAAATATATAGTGAAACTTGAATCCATTGCTTTAAACCATCAAAACAAATGAGATACACTTGACAAAAACAGCCAAGGTCTGAGAGCAACAAGTTGCAAATTAAAGCACAAAAACAGTTTTATGCCATTTTCATAAATATTATTGATCTTGTTATTCAAATTCTTATTTGGGGAGGCAGTTCAATTTCTGTAGTATTCTAGAAAGCAATTTTTTGCAAAAAATCGAAAGGTTTATGACAGGATGGAACCAGAATCAGGAATCCACTACATTATTTTTTTCGTGAAAGCGTCCAAACCCACACGCCATGAAGAGTTAAAGAGTTTATGGGATAATAGGAAAGTTAATGTCTTGTCACTCCAACAATACGCCAGATCTTTTATCCTTTGACTTGTTTCATTTTCCAAACTTCAAAAAAAACACTTTTAGAAAGAAGAAACAAGTCAAGGAAATCATAGGATATGCAATATTCCAGTATACGAAGGGTCATACTCAAAAAAGGTGTTCTGAACACAATCAGAAATTGGAGAAAAATGTTACGGACATGTGTTTTAATTAAAAGAGAATATTTAAATGAAACCATTAGGCTAAATCATTGAAAAGCGGTGTTTTTTTTTTTTTTTTTTGTTCCTTTCCGAGCATCGATAACATTATTTATTGAACAGCCCTCGTATGAATTTTTTTAGGGAAAAATAACAACCATATAAAAAAATGTACAAAAAATAATTTTTATCTTCCAAAAGTTACTTTAAATATAGTTATAGTAACTGAATTTATTTTTTTCTAAACCAGCAGTTATTAGGATTTTATAAAATTAACTCACCCTCCAAGTGTATATAAGAAGATGGACCCGTTTTCATCGAGGAGAAATTCACGTACAAAGAATTATTTGGCAAAACTAGACTTTCGTTTTTCTTGGCTTTTGAGCACAAATTCTTTTTAAAATTACTCTCAAAGGAAGTCAGACAATCACTTCCCTGTGTCACTGTATCAATCTTGAACCAGGTGTCATTCCTAATTGTTGTTATTTTCCATGAACACCGTAGGCCTGCATGATATGGCAGAGGAAATTCTGGTGACTGTATTGAATAGGTTTGATTCAAGTGTAGAGTGACGTGTTTCTGGCAAACTGGAAAAAAGCAGATGGATGGAAATTTTACGAAATATATACATATTTCGTTCAAGAAGTGTAAAGAAAGTTATTGATCTAACATTTACTCTCACATTCAACTACTGCCATGACTTTCTTTTGATTTATATTTCATTTATTCATCATTAAAAAGCACTGAGTCCTTTGAATATTATTAAAACGTGTTCTTTTTGAATTTAGATTCAACATGAGAAAAATACAATTGCTTTTATTATATTACATGTATATTTATTCACATTGTTATTTTTAATTGTTGTGACATTGAATGTAATAATATTAATTAATACCCGCATGAATGTATCTGGTCACAAGTACAGATCCATTCTGAATCACACGGAAGCTGTAAAGACCCGGATGTTCCTCTGTATTGATTGTAATCCGGGTCTGGTTTTGCTTAAAGTTATATGCTGTTTTTATTCCGGTCCCTATAATCTAAGCAATATAATATGATACACAGTTACATGTATATAAGGAATTTTTCAATTAAGAAAAAGATTTCTCGGAATTTTTTTTCTATATTTCTTATAAAATAATGTAAGAAACTGAGATATTTCTGGGGTCACTAGTATAGAAAGTAGGCCAATAGCCTATATAGTTACTTAAAAGTGAATTACATTTTTATTATCATATAGGTCTATAAATGGTAAGTACTGTTCAAGGTGGTTCTTCATTATTATCAGTGGAATATTTTTGTCCTCTGAATAAACATCATCTTACCTGACTTTCTACTGTAACATTAGCAAGGTGAGGGGATATCTCTACCTCTATGTACCCTGGGTAACTTCTCGTCGTCATCTCTGTAGGGGACATGTACAAAGGTAAGAATTGATCAATTAACGGACGGTACTCTAAATCATTTTTTATTTTACTTAATTAATAGAGACGGAGAAAATTGACTATAAAAACAATGTTAAATATTCAGAAATCTTGCTTATAGTTTTTACATCTCCTTCTGTAAATTCTAATGATACTTTATGATAACAGATAGTTTCTCTAATCGGATTTTTTTTTTATTAATCTGTGGTATCTGGATTAGACAAGCTTAACTGTTTTATTAATTAATGAAACATTATTTAACGTAATTTAACATTGTAACATCATAATAATACATATTGAAATGAAAATGCATGTTAAATTACAGGAAATTTATTTATGCCAAAAGATATTAAATTTAATATTTACCCGTCGTAGATATGGCTCCAGGTGAAGTTATATAAGACAAGAAATGGAAAATTAATAGTAGGACCATATTAATACATGTACGAAATGTTGAAATTACACAATGTCTACTTCAAAATCATTATTTTACGTTTATTGTCAATGCACTTGAGGTCACACCTGCATGCTTCAAACAAAAGGATCTCGCACCTGCTATAAACAGAGGATAAGCAATAAATACTTATCTCCTACCTACCTACCAAATCTATGGGACGGAAGAGATACACATCTGACCATTTGTTTGTAAACGGAAGGAGGGAGATAGAAAGAGAGAGAGAGAGAGAGGTTCAAAAAATACTTGTAAAGTTTATACACCATATTGGAAAGTTAAAAAATAATTTGCTTCACACAATAATCTATGGAGATGTGCAGCACGATCAATTGCATTACAAGTGCATTTATTTCATCATCAGGATTACTTCAATTTTATGTATTATTTAGAGTACGAGTTTCTTACTGTATCAGAGATACAGGGCGGGGCTTGAGGCGAGAGCAATAGCTCGAGCCTGGCCCCGCCCTGTATCTCTGAAACAATAAGAAACGAGTATTCTAAATGACTTGTGACATGACCTTTCTAAGGACCTCACTGATTTACATGCGTATTTGGGTGTATACCTCCCAACCAATCATGTTTTTGCAGAAAGTTGATTTAGTATCCCATTTTAAGCATTCTCAACTGAAATGCCGTGCAGGTATCTATCATTTTAAAATAATTTTTTAAGGGATGCATAAATTAATTTGTTTTCCAAAAATTTTAATTAGATTTGATTGCGCAGGGGTTTTTTTCTCTATGCAGCTCTTGCTGACATTTTTTTTCAGTTTAAGTTACATGTACGATTTAATGCAAAACATTTTGATATATAAGAATCATGTGGGAGTATTTTTGGAACAAAAATGCTTCGGGAGATCGTAGATTATGAGAGAAATGTCCGACAATGTCCTCCACCGGTCGTCATATACAAAATTGAAATAAGCAGATGAAAGGAAAGGGGGGGGGGGGGTATTTTACCTTCACGTTTTCATTAAAATGTAGAGTAACCAAACGGGATACAGCACTCACTGGTGCTCCCATCTCACATTTGAGTTTTTTTTTTCTTTTTCGCTTTCTTAATTTTTTTTTTTCTAAACTTGTATACATACAGTTTTTAATTCATCAACAAATGACGCACATAGGTGTTGGTTGCTACCCCCACGGAATACGATTTTCCGTTTTTTGTTTTTTTTGTTTTTTTTTTTTTGGGGGGGGGGGTTCAAAGTAATAATTTGTGAACTGCCCCACTCCCTCCTTTCTAAATTTTTAATCCGACAATAATACCTTTACGTTGTAAAATTTTATTTTTGATTCACCTAAATTTTTGTGTAAATACTAACAGTTCTATGGTGAATTGAACGATTGGTATGTCTGTATACGGATACAGCTTTCCTTCATCGCTAAAAAAAACCCCGTACTGTTTCATTGATATTTTGCAGATACAGTACAGTTTCTGCTCATTTGCATAAGAAACGCCAACAAAAAGCTAAGTGTTTTGTATCGCAGTTACAGTACGCTTGACTTCAAAGGAAAACTCGCCGGGTTATGTCACAACTTCATTTGTTTCCTATTTTTGTAACAGCTAGTCTGCCTTATTCATTTCAATAATAAACATAATTTTCCAAGACAATTTGGACGAAAATTTATCTATACTCAGTAGTTCATATTTTTAGTAACGAGTTTAAATTAGAGGATTACTAGAAGATACTACATTTATTTGTATGTATCTATTGAAATGAATAAGGCAGAATTTTTATTATGATACAAGAAAATCAATACATTATACATTTATTGACTGAGTTCAGGCACAACATGCGTTTTGTCGGACCCAAGAACCAAACTGTTTGCCTGAAGCCATGAGATTCGAGCGTAAACAAAATGTATTTTTGCCCGAGAACACAGTCAATAAATTTTAAATACATGTATCTTGTACTGTCTTCAATGATGTAAACCTAAGGTCTGTCACTGTTCAGCACCAACCAATGCAAATGAAATTAAGCTCCGCCCATTGTGTGACGTAAGCGGTCCAACATCTCAACGGCAGGTCCAAGTCATCTCACGCACGATCAAACATTGAATTTATAATGCCCGCTCAGTAAAACATTAGAAATGTTAGGACTTTTTAATAAAGATTTGTATATTAGGAACAAACTTTTAAAGGTATAACAAACAATTTTGATACCTTTACACAGTTTTTCGAACAAATATTGTTTTATCATTTTCAACATAAGGCAGGGTAGAGAAAGGGTAAGATGATAGTTAGCAAGAACACTTTTATTGCTATTTCATGACTAGAAAATTGTAATAAAGAAATGAATTATCCAATGACTAGAGAAATATCCTTTTAAAAATATCAATCAGATTGTATATAAAGAAGTAATCCACTAATCGACAGTCCGACCATCTGTTTTGTAGTTCTACCCACATTCGTTTCACTTCCTGTGGGCTATAGTGATGACCTGTAATCCTATACCTAAAGTTCTTTCCACAGGGTCCGATTTCACGACTACCACAACTGAACCCATGATGCTCTTTTGCGACAGCACCGATTTGTTTCCGGCACAAACCAGTTACGAAAACATCCTCAAATATGAAATAAGGAACCTTCTTTGTTGCTTGGTAGAGATCGTAAATGATATCACCGGAAATGAGATAAGCAGTTCCGGATATATAGTCCGGATATTCTCTGTCCTCATACTGATCACGTGACACGTGCCATTTAGAAAATGGATTCCGGTATGGCGCAGAATGACTGACCTTACACCCAAGGACTGTGTTAACTTGAGAAAAGTCTGAGAGATAACTCAGAAGTCTGGGAAGATTTAAGAACATATCATCGTCTATCTTTAAAAGGTAACGAGCTCGGTTGCAAAATGAAACTGTCCAACGCAAAATTGCTATAGATTTTCTGGTAAGGTTTTCGTACGTTTCTAGAACATCTTCAAATATAATATCGTTGTATATCAGTTTTTCGGTGTTCGCTAAATCCTGCAAAGCTGAGTTTTTACTTTTGCCCAAGACAAAGTTGACTTGAACAGTCGGTGTAACTTTTGAAACGTTTCCCCATGTGTGACGAATGGCATCTCTCTGTTGAAAGTTTGATACTGAACTAGGCACCATTATTAGTAAAAACACATTTTGACCATGGTCAGCACACCCTACTGAGGGTATAGTGATGGGTCGAACTATGCCCGTATCAATATACGCCTGAACTAGTCTATATGAAATTTCCTCGGTTTGAATTTTCCATCCACGGAAAGGAGTACAAAGTAAGTAGATTACAAGGAGCAGACAGAGTATCCACATTACAGCTGACTTCATTTTTTTCTTCATTTTGGATGGTTGTAAGTCTGAAAAATATAAATTAATACAATATCTGAACCAATGACAAGGAAAAAGTCTTTTCTAAGAGTTTATTTAAAGTAGTGAAATTGTTAAAGAATACAAATGATGACCGTATAGTGGTTAAGAACGTAATCGTAAAATGGCTCGTGATCGTATAGTGTCTCACGATCCCTCTTAGAACGTTGCTCCGAAGAGCCCCGCTCTGAGAAGTGCGGCCCAGATGAAAGCGTGAGAGTGAGCGCTTCGTAAAGTTAGACTGTCATTTTATAATGTACAATACATGATACTCATTTACATATGAAACAAACAAATCAGATTCAAGTAAACAAGTAATACAATAAATTTGGTCAAAATCCTATGACGTTATAAAATATATTATAATATAAACATAAGCTTCAGTTCAGTGTCCTGGTATCGTGCAAAAGTTAATATAATGGTAAAGTAAGTTTTTGCAATGTTCCGTTTCTCTTCCTGTATTGATGTCCGAAGATAGGTAAACATCCTGGGGTTGATTACAGTGTCCTTAATCCGATTAACGGGTTTGTTCACTTTTACGGAAAGGTATTACATTTTCACGTCCCAATTGGATTATAGGTCAGTGCACTCTATCATGAGTACATGTTAATAATCATATTTTATTTTCTTGATTAAAATAATTGTCTCAAACCCTATAGGTTTACAAATACAAAATCATTTAATTTAAATGTTGAAATCACAATGAGGTTTATTTCCTATAATTATGTAATTATATTATCTTGGCTTTTTAAAAATAAATTGAAGAAGTTTAGGAACCAAAATGGAATTAAAGAACAGGAACTTCTCTTCAAATATCACTTGTTTCAATGAATAAAATAATTCTTAAAATGCAGGGTTTATATACGACGTCGTATTCGTGCCATTTTAACAATGTAGAATTTTTATTTTAATTGTTTGAACGATTTAAGAAAACGTTTGTACGATTTAATAAATCGTTTGTACAATTTAAGAAGTCGTTTGTACGATTTAATAAATTGTTTGTACAATTTAGTAAATCGTTTGTACAATTTGTTTGTTAAATCGTTTGTACAATTTATTAAATCGTACAAACAATTTTTTAAATCGTACAAACGTTTTCTTAAATCGTAAAAACAGTTTCCTAAATTGTTCAAACGATTTATAAAAATCGTACAAACTATTTTAAAAAATCGTATGGTTTGTGCTAGGACGTTCAGTTCTTGTTTTTCTTTTACAAGACCTTTTCTGGGGGTATAAACATTTATGAAATCTTGACTAAGGTTTTTTTTTTTTTTTTGGAGGGGGGGGGGGTAATATTTGAATAACTTGTTAACCATGACCTCGAGCTGTCATTCGCGGATACAAATTTTTAAATTGTTTATTTGCATTGTATAACTCATATGTTTCTTTTTCATATAGTAGTCCTTTAAGTTGTGATCGCAATTGTTGTTGTGTTTTTTTTTTAATATCTTACTGACTTTTACACTTTCTACTTATATTGTAAGCCTCCTTTTTTAAAGGGGCATGAACACAGTTATATATTTTGTCCGGCGTCCGTCTGTCTGTAAACGTTTCATATTTCCGACTTCTTCTTAAGGACCCCTTGGCCAATTTCAACCAAACTTGCCACAAACTATCGTTGTGTGAAGGGAATGCAAGCTGTTTTTTTTTTCAAATGAAGAACCACACCTTCTTCCGAATGGAGTTTATAATTTTTTTTTTTTTTGAAATATTAATGGTATCTTTTAAAAATCTTTTTCTCAAGAATCACTCGGTCGGGAAAGATGAAACTAATGTGGAAGCATCTGAGGTAGTGTAGATTCAAATTCGTTAAAATCCTGACCCTTGGGGGCAGGTAAATTAGCAGGTTGGGGCCACAATGGCAAATCAAAATTTTACAGAGGAAGATATTGGGAATATCTTTAAAAATCGTCTTCTCAATACTGAAAAACAAAGCCATGATTGGTCATATTTATATGGAAGCATCCTCAGGTAGTGTAGATTCAAGTTTATTCAAATCATGTCCCTCGGGGGGAAGGTAGGGCCATAATGGACGATCTTTTTTTTTTTACATAAGGAATATATAGGAAAAATCTTTAAAATTTTCTTCTCAAAACAACTGATTAGTCATATTTTTACTGACACGCAAAAGAAACGCAACAAGCAGTAATCTACAAATGTTTGATTTTTTATCTAATGATTTTCAAAAGCGAATAAAGAAAGGTTTAACTCACTTTTCAGAACATCAGAGATTTGATAAAAATGTTAAATGTTTATCTGTTTACTTTACTAAGTAAAATATGACTGTTAAATCACCCCCTCCCAACCATTCAAGTAAAACGTGCAAGACTGCCCTAAACAACAGTTGAAGCTTAATTTCTACGATACAGTAGGTTCATTAATATCGAGATCTGAGCGAAGGAATTATTCTTTGGCATTTTTAAATGCCCGTTTTCCAGATGATTAGGTCGAATTTTCTCTAACTTAGAGCAGTGTAGCCACCCTTGGACTTCCAGTACAAGGACTGTCCTTAATGCATATATGATACGTAAGACCCTGTTGAGGCGTAATGTAGTGAAATTTCGCATCAGCAACTCTCCATCACCTTTACATTGAACTTTTCCAGCTAGAGCAATGGAAATGTGTACATAAACCATTTTCAAGTGGCCTTAGCATCGTTACAGGAAACGAAATGAGAGTTCATTTCTTGAAATATTGCTTCATTACTTATGTAAAAAAAAACCCTTAAAACTCCATAATACTGCCAAATGTTTTGTTAAACATGCACTTTTTGATTTCTGTTAAGCAGACTTAAACTTTACTTCCGGTTATGGTATGGAAATCGTTCAACCGTTAAATTACCGATGTTTACCAAATTGAAGATATTTATAATTTTAAGATACAAAATTCTTTACTTTACATAATTATTTCCCCCTAAAGTACGGTGTTGCGTTTCTTTTGCGTGTCAGTATATATGGAACCATCCTCAGGTAGTGTAGATTCAATTTTGATCAAATCATGAATCTCGAGAGTAGGGTGAGACCAAAATGAAAGTTTAATATAGGTAAGGACCGATTATGCATATAAGCTTTTCAATACAGGATTGATTTTTTCGTTTTCCTAGCAACAGTACTCAGGTGAGCGATGTGACCCACGGGCCTCTTGTTTTCTTTCGTTTCGATTTATTGTTCGCGGAAAAAAAATGACTTCTTTAATTCGGTAATTTTCGGGTTGAAAAGTGTATCTGGACAATCAGTTATGATGACATATCGATGATGTAATTGTATTCAATATATAAATAACCATAGACATACAAAGCTTTATGTCTATGAAATAACTGAGGCTGACCCACCTGACTGTTTACGTGGAAACAAAACCCCCTTCCGTAACGGAAGAGCGCACCAAGGGAGATAATCTCGAAATTTGCAGAATCTTGGATATCCGTTTGTCTAAAATTCGTTTCATCTTTTTTAATGTCTATTCAAATGCATTGTTTTATCACCATTTGAATTTTATGATTCATGTATTACACTACGTTTTTTAGCTCACCTGAGCCGAAGGCTCAAGTGAGCTTTTCTGATCACATTTTGTCCGTCGTCCGTCCGTCTGTCTGTCTGTCCGTCCGTCCGTCTGTAAACTTTTCACATTTTCGACTTCTTCTCAAGAACCACTGGGCCAATTTTGACCAAACTTGGATCAAAGCATCCTTGGGTAAAGGGGAGTTTAAATTGTTAAAATGAAGGGCCAAGTCCCCTTACAAGGGGAGATAATCAAGAAAAGACAAAAATAGGGTGGGGTCACTAAAAAATCTTCTTCTCAAGAACCACTGGGCCAGGAAAGCTGAAACTTATGTGGAAGCATCCTTGGATAGTGTAGATATTAAATTGTTAAAATCTTGACCCCCGGGGGTAGGGCGGGGCCACAATAGGGAATCCAAGTTTTACATAGAAATATATAGAACAAATCTTTAAAAATCTTCTTCTCAAGAACCACTGTGCCAGGAAAGCTGAAACTTATGTGGAAGCATCCTTGGGAAGTGTTGATATTAAATTGTAAAAATCATGACCCCCGGGGGTAGGGCGGGGCCACAATAGGGAATCCAAGTTTTACATAGAAATATATATAGAAAAATCTTTTAAAATCTTCTCCTCAAGAACCACTGGGCCAGGAAAGCTGAAACTTATGTGAAAGCATCCTTGGGTAGTGTAGATATTAAATTGTTAAAATCTTGACCCCCGGGGGTAGGGCGGGCCACAATAGGGAATCCAAATTTTACATAGAAATATATAGAACAAATCTTTAAAAATCTTCTTCTTATAATTTAAACCACTGGGCCAGGAAAGCTGAAACTTATGTGGAAGCATTCTTGGGTAGTGTAAATAGTAAATTATTAAAATCATGACCCCCAGGGGTAGGGTGGGGCCACAATAGGGAATCCAAGTTTTATATAGAAATATATATAGAAAAATCTTTTAAAATCTTCTTCTCAAGAACCACTGGGCCAGGAAAGCTGAAACTTTTGTGGAAGCATCCTGGGGTAGTGTAGATATTAAATTGTTAAAATCTTGACCCCCTGGGTAGGGCGGGGACACAATAGGAAATCCAAATTTTACATAGAAATATATAGAACAAATATTTAAAAACCTTCTTCTGAAGAACTACTGGGCCAGGAAAGCTGAAACTTATGTGGAAGCATTCTTGGGTAGTGTAAATAGTAAATTATTAAAATCATGACCCCCAGGGGTAGGGTGGGGCCACAATAGGGAATCCAAGTTTTACATAGAATTATATAGAACAAATCTTGAAAAATCTTCCTCTCAAGAACCACTGGGCCAGTAATGCTGAAACTTATGTGGAAGCATCCTTTGGTAGTGTAGAATCATGACCCCCCGGGGAAGGGTGGGGCCTCAATAGGGAATTCAAGTTTTACATAGAATTATATAGAACAAATCTTGAAAAATCTTCTTCTCAAGAACCACTGGGCCAGGAAAGCTGATACTTATGTGGAAGCATCCTTGGGTAGTGTAGATATTGAATTGTTAAAATCATGACCCCTGGGGGTAGGGTGGGGCCACAATAGGGAATTCCAAGTTTTACATAGAAAAATATAGAACAAATCTTTAAAAACCTTCTTCTCAAGAACCACAGGGCCAGGAAAGCTGCAACTTACGTGGAAACATCCTTGGGTAGTGTAGATTCTAAAGTTTTAAAATAAAAAAGGGAAGGGGGTTGTTGGGCATGATAGGTATAGCAAGAGGGAGAATCTGGTAAAGATTTGCATCACCCAAGTTACTCAGGTGAGCGATGTGGCCCATGGGCCTCTTGTTTATGAATCCTATTTTATTTAATAGCAAAAATTAATTTTTTCCTATACATGTTTTTAAGAAAATTTTGCTCTCTCTGACCGAAGCCCCTTACAACGACCGTAATAAAAAAGTTATAGTAAAGGTTAGAGATTTAGTGACAGACACATATAAACGTTTTCAAAAGGAGAATTTTCTAGTAATAACAATTTTGACCTTATGAACTTGACTTTGATCTACATTTGTCCTACTTTTGTGAATTAAACATTATATTTGGACACAAACATTTGTGTTTGGTTATAGGGTTTTTATATTTCACCTTTGTATTTCTCATAAGGTGACCTCCCTTTAAATCGATACAAACAAAGATGACCTCGTGATCTTGACCTTTGAGCATCTCCCGAGAAAAAAAAATAAAATTTGCCCCAACGTACAAACAGTTTGTACTAGTTAAAGCAGTGTTTTATGCTATACATGTGTGTCCATTGTGAAAAGACCTTTCTTTATGTTTCAACATTTTTACCTCATGACCTTGGAGTCTAATTTTTTCTTTCTTTAATGCTGCCATACCAGGTATAAATATGTGTAATCACATTTTGGTACTATCCTATAATAAAAATAATAGAGCATAATTTTTCTATGATAAGACGCAACAAATATACCAAATAACCAATTTTGTTTAACTAGTCCTTCGATATTATATGGATTTTTTTTGTTTATATTTTTAATTTTTTTTAATGTTTAGCAGTGGACAAATAACAATATAAAGTCATATAACTTCCACAACCTCCCTTCCATAAATATCTGACGTCCACAAATAAAACTAGGCCGTTCTATTCACAGGTTGTTTGACAGATATACGTCCTCACTCTGTGTCTCACAAATAAAAAATTAATGTTCACAAGTAAAAATGAATGACTAGCATCAAACATTTTGTAAGAACTTCTGTCTGAGAAAACAAGGAGAAACAAAACATATGTTATCTTTGTGAATGCAATACAACACGTAATCATACTTAAACGACGAGAAATCTAATTAGTGTAAGAAAAGTACTTACCAGGTTTTCATTTTCCAAATTCGAATGTCCTCTAAAATGGTATAAAACGGGCATTGCAGTAGGTGGCTTGGGGCGTGTTCATATAAACGAAGAAAGATGTCCACATATTTAACAATACACAGTAATAAAAAGTTTTACTTTCAACATATTCCCTTTTCCACTGCAAATTAATTACTACACTCTTGCATTCATATTAATTTCAGTGTGTTATTCAACATTCTGTCGAAAGGTCTGAATAATTAAAGCACATCTGAATAAATTAAAGCATTAAATTCGGTGGGAAGGTTACCAACAAAACATATAGTTCTTAAGCACAAGCACTTCTAACCTAAAATGACATTTAGTGGAAGATATTTATAGCTCAGGAAGCCCATGCTTATTAAATTAAACCTAGAGCAAAAGTGCAGAAAAAACTAAGTTGTCACAGAATAAAATAAGTTCTAAAATAAAATTGTTTACAATTCAGAGAAAAGAAAATTATTTAGATTAAAACGATCTAAGAAATGCATTTTTATAGCACTATTTCTGTTTTCTGTGTTCTTTCCGTATGCTACATATTAGAATAAGACTGAAGTTGTCTTTCTTAAAGTAGCGGAGGAATTAAATTATAGAAACGCTTTCTTTAAAACTTCTGTCAAGTTTCTGTATATGTGGATCAGATTTGCCTTAATAGACCCACATTGTAAAACAGAATTGAAATTTTCGCTTCAGTCAAATAATAATGGTGGATCTATTAATATTTGACTTCCTCTACTTCAGTTGACTCTTAAAAAACTCAGTGACGGATACATACTCCTGATTTGTGGTAGCTGCTGAGGGGATACATTTCAAGTACAAAAAGGAAGTTATCAGGCAAAAAAAAAATATATATATAATGTCATCTTCAACAAAGTATGTTCACTTATACATGTAGCTTATATATAGCTTGATAAATTGTACCCATACTAAATGTCCTGTTTATGCACATATAAGGTCATTCCAAGTTTTTTCTATGTTTAGCGTCCGCGTGCGCCTTGGTTTTTGACACCCCATGTCAGAAAAAACAAACAGAATCAGGAGTCCGAAAATTAATCATTCAGGTCAAAATTTGATTCCCAGCAATATCTCTAAATATTTATATAATATTTCATTATTAGAGTAGTTTAAGTATTTAATTCCTTGATTTTGCAGAAGAAAATAACTTTCTTTTTGAAAATAGATAAATGAAATCATATCTTTTGAATTACGTCATTCGTATAACTATAAAATATGTGTTTTATCTTTTTTTGACTTGTGTGGTTTTTCCGAATAGGTAGCTAGGTTTTTGAAAGATGGGTGGACGCTAAACATAGAAAAAACTTGGAATGGCCTAACCGGGTCATCTCTTTTCTGTCAATTTGGATCTTTTTTTTTTTTCTTTTAAGCCCCGTCCACTTGTGTTCAGTTATAACTTCGGCTGAATTTCATTACTTTTATAAGGAAGCCCCAGCTCGGGGTTGAACTCTTGACCTACGGAATATATATACCTCCTGTGAAATAAATTAACTAATATACAAAAGTTCATTTGCATGCATCACATTTTATCATAAATTTTTGTTGTTAGGTTTTCCACTACCGCCTTTTTCTAGTTAAATACCGATGTGTCAGACACTGTGTCAACTTTTTTTAAACGAGTTCACGGGAATATATGGAGTATAATTGAATAGAAGTAAATATTATTTATTGATAATACGAACTTCTTGATATATTTATACATGTATGTCGAGTAAGGCCACCTCAAGTATTTTCTTCTCGTGTATAAGGTTTTGAATAAATTGCTTTTAAATGATTGCAAAAATAAGTCTGCTACAAGTAACTGCTTTTTAAAAAGCTTGCCTCACTAAATCAATCAATATCTGCATGAGGAGTGATAAACCTTTTGAGCAATACTTTTGTGGGTTTAAAATATGTCCTTACTTTATATTTTGAGAACCTTGAGTAAATGAAATCTTGATTTTATTTAACTTGTAGAAGAATCATCTCTACACTGCATCTGAGTGTTTATTGTTTTTCTAAATCCAAAATTTCATTGAAAATAGACCCTCGATTTACGAGAAATCATGTAAAACACTATTTTCATAAACATGATTAATCAAGTTTTCAGTTTAAATTACAATTTTTAAAAGTGATTTTAGAGTGTGTTTGATAAATAATCACAGGTATTCAATGATAAAAAAAGATAGTTGTTCCATATACTTTTTCAAAATTTCTTTGATGAGTAAAACAATATGCGTTTCTTTTTTTGTTGAGTATACATTGTATGCAACACCTATAATAAAACATATTTAAAAAATCATGCATTGTAAACATTTTAAAAGATGGATATAATCAAATACATATTGTGTTGGGGTGTATTTTCTCTCTGAAGTACATGTACTGGGTGAAGTAAACAATAGTACATGTGTGTTCATTAATGTTTTTTTTTTTCTTAAAGGAGGGGGTAGTGCCACTATCATATATTGAGAATGAAATAAGTAAATTTATGCAGGCCTTTGTGGAAAGCTCCAAGATTTTGCACTGGTTTCTTATTTAGTATGTGCATTTGAACAGAGACATAAATATGTTATTTTAAATTCCGGAAACTGTAAATCAAAATTCAGAAAGTCCTGGCCCCATGGGCCATTTAAATCCGATCGCCCGAGTTCACACATCTGAACTGCTTGACTCGATTGAAAATTATCCTCGTCGTAGGCTTGCTGAAAAACGACGATTCTTTACGCTGGACCCCTTCTGCTATTTTTGCCAGATTATAGAACAAATGAATTCATTATCTCAAGGAATTGATCACGTGTTACAGTACTATGAAAATTACCAAATTTGTAAATCCGTTACTTGGATACCAAAACCCCTTCGCGTGTAAACATTTTAAAAGTGGTTCTGTTTCAGATTTTTTATTAGTTGATGTAAAGAAAATACCAAATATGGGAAAAGGTCAAATGAAGGTGTCATTGGATAAATCAGTTACATGATTGACATCATATATTGAGAATGACAAAATAAATTTAATATTTGCAAACTCGGAGGCTAACGCCTCTTCGCGTGCAATAACTCAACGATATTTTGTATGCATCATCTCGTGTCATCATGTAACTATTACATGCATCTTGAGACCATGACTTGTTTAACCGTTGTTTATTATCATTGGCCTAGTCCATTTATGGAATAAACCAAGTGCGGGATCGAGAAACATATTAATAAAAATTCTTTAGTGTTGCATGTCCATATACTGATATATACGATATGTTGTTTCAAAGAATGGAATAAATCTTGTAGATAGAATTTCTTAAGCATTAGAAGGAGGTTAAAAGGACAAACTTTATTTAATTCCATGGACGTTAGCACACCCATTCATACAATACAACAATTCAAGTAAAAGGCGCGAAGAAAGCTTACTAGTGAGATTTGGCGCGAAAAGAGCGATTCACCTCTTCTGTAGAATACAAATAGACTGATCCAGTAGTATAGAAATGCAGAAAAAATGATACACGGACCTGTTGAAACGGTGAATCGTATGAATAATCTTTTCCATGCAAAAAGAATAAAGGAAGTAAACACTGCAGTATTTTGCATCAGTAATATCATTCTTTTTTCTGAAAACTGCTTCTTTTAAAATGCACGTAAAGAATTCCAATGTAAATCAGCTTGCACAAAATCTAGCTCTCTAGGTATGATCTATTAGTTTCGGATCATGAAAATATTTATCCTTATACAACCTTACGCAGTGACGTCAGGCAATTAACGGAGCGCAATTGGTACCCATGTGAATTCCAACAGACTTTTGAAAGACTTGATCTACTATTAGATATTGTCAATCAGAAATTCAAGTATCAGAAATCATTTTTTTTAAAGAACGATATCAAAAGGATGCGAAGATTTCATGTGTTATTTTTTTTTTATTTGAGGATTTAACTCTTGGAGTGTTTATTCCATTATTTCGCTTTGCACGTGCCATTTTACGAAGAAATTTTACAATGTGAACTGAAGATATCTAATAAATTAGAATTCTTTTAAAAAGTGTAATTTAGGGGGGTCCAGATTATTACTCTATATGTTATTGTTTGGGTTAATTTGTTTTGAGCATATTTTATTGGCAATATGTGAAAGGGATTGGACACAAGTTCCATGCATAAACTTAAAAAGTCCTCTCCCAATTGCAGTTTTCTTCGGTTCAGAGTTACATCAACATTACTTTGTCGTGAGAAGAAAAAGTACAACAGGAAACAATTCTTTAAGTGTCTCGATAAGTACTCATCTTTTATCCTACCATATTATCACACAAAGGAAAAATTACGTTGTTTATTTAAGGAATCACTTTCTAGTTAGTATATATCAGGGCATCAACCATAATTTGCATAACGGGCGAAGCCCGTTATGCTAAAATTATCCCATGTTTCCCAACTGTTGATGTCCCTGGGAAAAATTATTTCATTATGAAATAAAATTGTAGATTTAGACTTTAAAAATGTAGACATAGATTTAAATTACACGAGGACTCCCATGCCAATTACAATAGTCCTCGCCCACTGACGTCAAACACAAATACAGCCGCACGAGATTTACATGCATAGCTGGCCTCCTTAGCGTCAGACACAGAGACAGATACGCACGAGATTTGCATGCGTATTAGGCCTCCTTAGCTCCTGACCTATCGACCTCCCCAATTTACATTCCGGCAGAATTATCAAGAAATTCATCCTGCTAACTTCCACAGAGTTATCACAGAGAAAAAAATTAGAAATGGAAATATTTTGAATAAAAAAAAATCAATGATCAAATTGAAGTAACTTGACATGATGTATCTAAAGTTGTAACAATAAACGTCATTGATTGTAAATATTTTGGGAGCTGCATATAAAATTCAACTGGATACTGAATATGCTATTTTTCTTTAGCCTATGCAATATGCTACATCGCATATAGAGTCTATGTACAACAGCGTGTATTTGAAAAGCGAATGTCATTTTTTATCTCTCAATTCTAGGCCCCCCATCTATGATCAGCATTTTGATACATGTAACTATATACTTGTGGACTGAGTATATGTACCTCATGTACAAGTAACCTTGTTTCTGAAAGAAGTAATAATATTATCCACAGTCAAGTATGTTATTAAGATAATTAGATACCTAACTACAGCTAGTTTCAAAAGACAATTGTATACACAGCTGTATATGTACCGCCCAGTAACACGTGTAATTTGGCAATCAGATATTGCCATTATAGTGCTTTTGTAACAATTAGAAGACTTTTATGTTAACTTGAATTAATGTCACAAAAATTATATGAAACTTCATCGTAAAAGTGCTAATGAATCAAGACAGCAATAACTTGTTTGCATTACTGAATATCTTATTCATAAATCATGGGAAAAATGAGAATAAAAGAAATTTTGTTTTTTTTCGATTCTGAAATTATTTTGATGGGATTTCAACACACTGCGTATTCTCAAATCTCAATATTTTTTTATTGCTCTGCTCGCAAATATTTTTTTTTCTGTTTGGTTTGTTTGTTGTTTACTGTCCTTCTCTGCAAATGTTGACCTATGCTCGGCACACAGGGCCATTGAGCAATGAAGGATCTTTTTCGTGCCAGCACCTTCCGCGACACGGGATCTCGGCTTATATACGGTCTCATCCGATGGAACGGTCTCCATGTCCCCTACTGAGATTCGAACCGGCGACATTCGGATCGACTCCTTGTTCTGCGATTCTAGAACCAACGCTCTTTACCACTGCACCACGCAGATGACTTCTTCTCCTTATGAATCAAGCGTTTCAACTGTCCAAATTGTAACCCATATAAAAATCCTTTTTAATATTAAGTTTGTCATTTTTAAATCGACAACTTTATGATAACAAAATAATGCAAGTTTTTATTGATCTAGTTCACGAATGAAATGAATATATACCAAGTTTAAAATGTTCACATAAGAGTTTGTTCTTAACCCTACATTGCATAGGTCAACGATAAATTGAAAGATTAGTTCACAAAATCAAAAAATTGCAAAAATTAGTCACATCATATTTCTCTATAAAAGATAATTTTTATACCAAGTTACAATAGAGAGTCTGTACAGACGTAGCCAAATGTCAATTGTTCTAGCATTGCAACAGTTAGGTAATGTTCAATATCCAATGAAAATCTCTGATAACTGAGATTCTTTCGAAAGGTCTTACTTATAGCTGGCCACAGTTTTGGATTAAGATTTTAGCTTTCGTATTTCCGCTTCTGGTTCCACATCCTTCCATTTTTTTGACGACATCCATGCCTTCCACGACCTGTCCAAATACAACATATTTACCATCCAGCCAGGGAGTCGCCGTAGTACAAATAAAGAACTGACTGCCGTTGGAGTTCGGGCCTGAATTGACCATGGATAAAATTCCCGGCCCAGTATGCTTCAGCTGAAAGTTCTCATCCTTAAACCTTGTCCCATAGATACTTTTTCCTCCAGTGCCATTGAAGTTTGTGAAGTCGCCTCCCTGGCACATGAAATCAGGAATAATTCTGTGAAAAGGGCATCCCTTGTAGCCAAAGCCCTTTTCACCTGTACATAATGCACGGAAGTTCTCAGCCGTTTTGGGGACTACATCGGCTCGCAGTTCCACAACAATACGACCTATGTTATCTTTATCGAGTGCGATGTCGAAGAAAACTTTGGGTTTCGACATTTTGTCTCCGAAGTCCTGTCCAAATGGCGTACTTCCTTACCCGTAATTTAAGCGCAAGATCGACCTCACTCCAATCCAACTATTAGTAACGTCGTGTTTATTCGGCTTATTTCAAACACTCAGCTGACATGCTTAGAATTCAATGACGAAATTTGTGCACACAAATTGCAGTATGTGACATTATTGGTATAATGCATAACACGTTGCCAAGAGTATTGTGAAATAAATGCTGAGGGTAACATTAAACTAAGTGAATGCTTCTAAGTTAATCATATTTTAGTTTTTTACATAAAAAAGGGTGAGTGGTGGATTTGATTGTATTTCATAGCCCTGACTTCGCAAAGTATATTTTAGAATATTTGCCAGGATTTCAGTATGTTCTGTTTGATTATTCTATTTGCATTATGTCCAATTAACGATAGTTATTCATTAATATATCAACTCGAAGTAACCCAATAAACTTCAAATAAAAGATTCCTCTGTTTCATTTATGGATAATTTACTAGACAGACCTTTATGGTGACCGTACAACAAAACTTAATGATATAAAACGTGACGGCTTTAATTTTTGTATCAGCTTCCCTAACTTATGTAGCAATGTACAATTATCATCCGAGTATGGGGTTTTAACTCCCAGTTCGAACGCAAGAGCATTCTATTCGAACGAACATTTTCTAAAATCAGGCAAGCTGTCGACAAATAAGTTGAAGAAACAAGAATAATACCGGTAACAGTCTCATTTGAGGACATCATTTTCGCAAGTTCTTCTAAATTATTAGATTAATAAGATCGATCCACGTTCAGTGCTCACGCCGAGTGTGAGCAATCTATAGGGAATGCTTACTCCTTCTATACATCTGATCCCACATTTGGAATTTCCAATGGTCCACGTCTTATGCCCTCTTCAGGCGCGGATCCAGGATTTGAAGTTAGAGGGGGCGCCAAAAATGTTTATGGATTTTTTAGATCGATCACTGAGAGTTATCTACAGTACATTGTTTTTAGTAATGTATAAAATTCTTGAGTTTTGTTTTCAATTTGCAATGTAGTTTTATATTATTTGTGAGTTATACTAAATTGATAAGGAAAAGTTTTTTTTTTAAATTCATACAATAGTATCTTCGCGAAATTTGTCACAGAACACCGCGAAAAGAAGTACATTGCAAAGGTTTTGCAACACAGTCAAGGCCAAAAGAGAACCCCACTGTAAATTTTGATCAGAAAAAAAATGTGGTAAAGATCGTCGAATAAAATTCCATTCCATTCTATTTTCAGCTTATTTGATTATTTCTATCAGATATGTGTTTTGCAACATGTAGATAATAGCTAAAATCAAAGTCCGACGTAAAATACAGTGCAAAAATTACCTCAAATCAGTGCTTGCCTGGGGAGTTTTCTGTCATTTTTTAAATATAATAGTAATAACATTGTCAAGTAGTAAAAGAATTGATTGATTGTACGTTGTTTAATGTACCTCTAAAGATTTTTTCAGTCATATGGAGACGCAAACACTGGCGGGTGGAGAGCTGAAATTTTGTTCTCATGCTCGGCACTCACGGCCATTGAGCAGGGAGGGATCTTTTTTCGTGCCAGCACCTACTGCATCAAGGGACCTCGGTTTATACGGTCTCATCCAAGGACCGGTCTCCACGTCCAACAGTGGGATTCGAACCTGTGACGTAGGGATCAACTCCTAACTTCGCGACTCTAGAGCAGACACTCTAACAATTGTGCCATGCAAGTAGTAAAAGGAGAGCAAGAGATTACCAAGAGAAAAGAACAGTTTCTCCTTTCCAATTACTAATGAAACTGACAATTTTTAGCACTTTCCAATATTAAATTGATTCATGACTACATGTGACTCTCACTTCCTCTCCAAGACAAGTAGCACATAGTGGATGTGACCGATTGAATTGGGAATGCTTACTTACCCATGGTACCTGATCCCACCACTCAGTTTTTGGAGCTCTTTTTCTTTGCTCTGCTTTGGATTTATATAATTAATCTACTTTGAGCCTGAATACTGTGGGTTATTTCTACAACTTAGGCCAAAATAAAAAATACTCTTGTTTCCTGTCACCCGACCTACCCTACATTTTACCCTAGCCCTAAAAGTTTTTATTGCATTTTCATTTTTTAGGTAACAATTTTCCTAAAATAATAAAGTTGACCAACAATATTTACAGAACTAATACATCACAAGTGTACAGGATACCTTTACTTTATAAATCTTTATTAACAAACTTGCTCTGTATTTAAAACTGTTAACTTATCATTTTGTTGTTATTACATGCTATATGTTCTGCATTCATTGTGTTTTGAAAATAAAATTTTTTCTCAAAATAAAATTTTTTCCCTACCTACCTACCCTAATTTTTTTGGTCAGGGGACAGGAAACAAGTTATATTTTCTTTTGGCCTTATACCTGAATTCAGGTATAATATTACACACTTAGATAAAACAAACAAATCCATGTAATAAACAAGTTTTTAATGAGGTTCTGTCAAAGTTGCACACATTGCAATAGATTTGAATGATTTTAAAAATTAAACATTAATATATTTACAAATCTAGGAGGCAGAACATGTGTGAAACTGAATGCAGAAAGTTAGAAAATATGAACCGAAGTAAAGGGAATAAATATAAGAATTTTTTACCCAAAAATAACATATTATACATAGTATTTAAATTTAAAATTGCAAGATTATTTTTTTGGTATATGCTTTGATATCCATGTGTTTTAAACATTACAGAGGATTAAATATACAAACTGAAAAAAAAATAGTGTATGCTTCAAAAATATATTTTAGGTTTTGATAACTAGATAAACAAAGAAAATAATAAAGAAAACCCATACAATTTTGTAAATTCAGCTACAAATAAAACTTGGCTATGAAATGATCTGTATATATTAGAAATATCTCAGTATGTACATAAACATTTGATCTTAATTATGCCATTTTGAATATAAGAACAAAGTCATCTAAT